AACGGTTTCGAGAGGGCAGGGAGTCAGTGAACGACGACGAACAAGTCGAACCGATAAAAACATTACCGCCGTCGCCAAAATGGTTCACCAAGATCGAAAAGTGACGTCTCGGTTAATAGCAGACACACTTGGCATCCCGAAAACAGTGGCTCTGCGGATTTTAAGCGAAGATTTGCGAAAACGAAAACTGTGCGCCAGATTTGTCCCGCATGCCTTGACGCGAGAGCAAATGGACGAGCGAGTTGTTAAACATGATTAACAGGGAAGAGAACTTTCTGGACAAGATCATTACAGGTGACGAGAGTTGGTGTTTTGCGTACGATCCCTAATTGCGCTTCCAAAAATCAAGAGTGAAGATGATGTTGATCGTGTGACCTGACAGTCAAGGCGTTGTGCACAAATAGTTCGAGAAGCTGAGAACTCTTTTTGGGCAGAATAATGGACCTGTCGTCTGACAGAACACTAAATAATAATAACGGGGGACAAATTAAGTTGCACCAACGCAGTAAGACGCTCCATAACGCTGGCACTGGGGACAGCACAAATCAACACAAAACCGCACAGGCTACCCGAATCCCAAAAGGCGGAGGTAGAAAGGCAAGTGACTAGATTGGTAGAAGAAGGAATAGTCCACTTTTGATAGGACCAAAGAAGTTAGACGCGAGTGGAGAGAATACCCGGAGGCCGGCGTCTGAATGAGAAAACGGTAGGAAATGCATACCCACTTCCTGCCACATCCGAGATATTGGATCAATTAGGACAGTCCAAGTATTTTTCGTGCATGGACATGGTAATGGGACACCACCAGATCGAGCTCCGGGAAGAAGACAGAGAAAAACCGCTGTTAGTACGAAGCAAGGTCACTGGGCCCACAAGAAATTGCCTTTCGGGTTAAAGACGGCCCCAGCAACCTTACAGTCTACAGTACTGTGCGAATTAGTTTCCCGACAACCATTCATATTCATTTTCCAGGTGAATTCGATTCTACATAATGCCTGCAGTTGGAACACCGTCAAGTAGTCCAATCAGAAAAAAATCTGCTCACATGGCATAGCATTGAGCAAAGTATAGGAAAATCAGGCTATGGTAAAAGAGACTGCGGTCTTCTGAGTCATCGCCATGGAAGCTGGACCTTCAAAAAAAAAAGTCAAGTGTGCTAGCCCAAAATCTTTTCAGGATATACTGAGGATGAAAGAGCCAACAACACGTCCAAAGGGCTATTATGTTGCAGCATGGAGAAAGTCGGCCTTTGGGCGAGCATTGGATTATCCGTGGTGACAACTATTCGCGGAGGCATTGCTTTCTGGCAGCATTTGAAGCCCACCGCCGATCATAACAACGCCACGACGACTTCCCCGGTACGATCGAGTCTTGAGCCATACACGGCTCAACAGTGTGATGACTAAGCTACGTCTTCACCGCCGTCAGAACCTCAAATGTCCCCAATAAATCCGATTTCTTTATTCATTGTTTACATGGAATTGTTCACTTCATTTTCATAAATCGTGACCCGTGCAAGAGTAACCCCAAAACGCACATTTAAACGGAGCCTCGTATTCGAAATTGCATTTAAAGAGCCCCGTCGCTACCGGGTCCAATCTTCTGCGACTTCAGTAACAAAGGAACAGCCGAGCCATCGAGCTGCCTACGTGAATGGTGATCAGCACATATGCGTTCCTGTATATCTTAAGTCTAAAAATAATCGCCTGACCTCCTCATAGTCAACATGGATTTCCCTTCGACCAGTTGTGTGCTGACAGAAGCTGAGCGAAGGGCACTTCTAGAAGAAGGTTTAGATGAAAGTGACTGTGAATATAGTTCGGACACCGACAGTGAAATAAGACATTGACATACACAGTTGGTGACACCTGGAGTTACCGTCAATAGTGATAGTGGTGGCGCAATAGAGGAAGAAATCTTAGAGGCAAATTCGGGTTCTGTTTCCAACAAGTATGTGTGGGAAGATATAGAATCATTTACCCCTTCAAGAGAAGCATTCTGTAATGAGGCTAACAACCTTGCACCGTAAAAAGAAAGAAACCCTGTAATGGACAATGTGAAGAAGGAAGTGAGAGCTGTTGCCATGAATTTAAAAGAAAATGTGTTTCCGACAGTTCGACACTGCTGGACTAGATGTCGTAAGTTCATTTGAGAACATTTTCGATATAGCTCTAGAGATGCGCTTTGTATCAGGATCGATACGACGAAGGGAAGGATCAGAGTAAGTTGTCGGCTCACTTATTTAGATATTCAGTGTTGGCAACGCGTCAGTTCCTGGACACGTGTAATTTCCATAGCAAATTCATCATCGGCTATGCAAATTATGAGAAAGGGACGAGGTAGACCTGCAGTAAGCATTCGAATCCCTACGCGGGCATTAAAATTGTAAAATTCCTCTTTTAGGATCCCTCCTTAGAAGACCCTGATGACCCCTCTTCTGTCTCTCCTCTCAGCCTTCTGATGTGCCTAATATTCAGACATCGAATTCAGAACCAGTGTCAGCTTCAAGCCAGCCACGTACTTCCGACAGACCTGCAAGTAATAGGCCTAGCTTCCAAACATCAAAATCTCTCTGCCAAGGCACAACTGCCTCATTCTACGTCCCTAAACAGTAAAAACAACCTCGGCTATAACATTACGTGGTCATCATTCAGAGTGTGTTTTTGTCTTAAAATTTCGTGCACTGAGTGTGATATTTTGGTAAACACAAGCCGTAAAACCTTGTCGTTATACAGGTCAGAGCCAGCTGCAGAACTGTTCCGCCTTATTCTCGATTCTGAAAGCCAAGCCACGGCCGCACACGTGTCTTCATTCAGCAGACAGAATTATCTTAGGGTGGCTAATAAAACCTTTGAAAGTGCTACAAAGTTAAAATTATACGGGATCCATGGAATGTAACAAAATTAATATTTGTGTATGTATGGATATTTCACAGGATCGAAAGAGAACAAGAAAACATGGAGAACAGGGGTGCCAATATTGTTGCATACATTAAGGGCTGCCCAAACAAATGAAGAAAACGTGAAATGATAAGTCTTCCTCATGCCTACAAACGGGTTCTATGGTTTATTTAAGTTGGTTTTATTTGAAGCCACTTGTAAGGCGAAGTGCGGTGTTTAATAGGACAATTGTCAAAGCGAGATTTTTGGATTTCAGTGAAATTTCGGTGCGTGTACTTTCTATAAAAAAACGTCCCGGTTACAGAGGAAAGCCGGAAAGTTTCGATCCAGCTAAAGTTGGAAAAAGAAATATTCCAAAGCCACCTCCAAAATCAAAGGCAGGTCCGAAATCTCCCATGCTTCCACCACCATCACATCTACAAACTAAGGAGAGCCCACAGAAAAATGATTCTCTGATAACTGAGGCTATTTTTGGTGTAGACGTTAGTGTCACGGAAATAGCACCAAAACAGCCATTCTCCGCCAACTACAGTAAAATTGTTGATATAGCGGTTATCGAGTGGACGAGAAACAACTCGAAAGAGTAATCGCCCGCGAGGAAATAGCCTATTATGCGACTGCAATGCTGCATTAACGACTACTCGAAGTTAAAGCGCTAACTAGCGCAGAAAAAGATATCAGAAAGGCAATAGCTGACGATGTATATAATGTGCCGCATATATCTTAGCCAAATTGGAACATACAAAACGAGACTCGAGGTCCCGCCTCTTCCAATCACTGTGGTTCAAGGATTTGGTGGATATCACGCAGCTGAGGTAAACGCATTTGAGGAAATACCGTCTCCTGGTATCGCTGGTGATTGGTTATGGCGCTAGCATCTCCGCATGCTGAACCAGTGCCGAATTTCCACATTGGTAAACCAGCTAACACAGAATTTACGATCAACTTGGTTGGAAAATTCTACCCAATAGGACCGCGACGTCCAGAAATAGGACAGAGACTTGCAGGCTATGGGATCACCGCAGTAACCTTCCGACGAATACGTACCTGGAACAAGGTTCAACTGCGATATATACCACGTATATCAGACATAGTTGGCCGTTTCGAAATGAAAAAGTTACTCATAAAAACTTGTGCCTCGCTGGAGGAGAGTCACAAGTGAAGACAAGACCAAGCGAACTAGAAGAGCACGAACTGTGCAGCCACTAGTTCGATTGCGATCATGGGATCAGCATACGTTTTTGGCTTTCAACTATACAAAGAAGACGGCCGATGAAATCGTCGTAGTCGAAAACTAGCAAATTGGAGCTGCACCATGGAATATGCCAGATGATTGGTATAATAATCGAAACGTGCGACGGAATATACCAGAGATTATCGGAACAGAGAGGTTTAGAGCTATCTCAATTCGACAAGACCTTCAGACGTCAAATGCGATTCGAAGGATGATTAAAACACAACGTTAATCGTCAAGTAAAACCGCATTACAAACGAGAGTTTTGGAGCGGACCAAGACAAAGCTAAAATAGCAAAACAAAACCGTACCAATGCAGCTATGAGCTGAATCACAGCTGTGACAGAATGCTAAATGCATGCTCGTGTGATATGTACTGTACTATGAAATTCCTCCTTAATAATTATGTATTTATTTTATTGTCAAAATGTAACCCAACAGACCAGATAGTGCAGTAAATTATATCAGTATAAATTAGAATCATAAATCTTACAAAGGATATATAAATCTTTTTCATCGGATACATAAATTGGGTGCTATCTAGTGGATGACATGTGGCCCTCACAGATGTCAGAGGTAAAAGAGTCTGTTTTGGGTATTGCCTCATTTCCGTCACCACAATATGACTATTCATATTTGACCCTTTATAAACCACTATCTGGACTGAAGGGTAAGCATTATTATTCTGTCACTGCTGTTCGCTGGAACGTCAGATTACTCTTTGAATAAACTCTACGTGGACTTGGATATCGGACGTCGCTGATTCACCTCCAGGCTTCCTGCGTGAGGAACCTTACCATCCAATTATCCCAACAAATAGACAACCGATCAGAAACTCTACTACAATAGACGACTACAACATTACCTGTGGCAACGGCAATATAACAACTACAACTACTGAAAATACATTACAGAGTCCGGCATTTTCGTTACAAGCGAGAATGAGGCATGTAGGCATTCGACTGCGTATTTGCCCTTAAAACACACACACGGAGAGAAAATTTAGCAAATAAAAATGACTCAGGTTTGAATGTCGGCAGAAACCCGTCTAGAAATCTGGATTTTGCTCGGTTCTTCCAGGCTAATTCCCAGATGTAGGCTGAGAAAGCGGTTTTTATGAACTCGATAATTTAAGAACTTCTTATTGTCAGACACAAATATTATTCCAAGGTAAATATCCCGTGCAGGGTGCTAAAGTGTCCTTAAGTGGTGCATAAATCACCAATCAAGATACGCAATTGCAGATCTTGATCACAAAGATTAAAATATTTTCACTTCCACATTACACGAGCGTCTCGGCCGTTGTTGGACGCTTTTGTCAAAAGAACGTATATCACAGGGGCTAGTGGACACGGCCCTGTTCACGTCCAACATCGCTATGTTACATTATGTGCAGCTTCTCAAGGGGAGAGGCACATTCTATGTAGCAATGATGTGTCTCCTCACAGCCTCATTGCTTCTCCAGGTACGTGACACGTGTTCATTTCTCACACGCCTGCAGCGCATCGCCTAAGCCTAGAACGATCTATGAAATTCTTTGTCACGATGATCCTGCGTCGCCGTGACCTTTGATTTGATATGCGCTGTGAGCAATATAGAACAGGCGCGGCTGAAAGTTCCAGAAATTCAAGGCGCGTTGCTTAGTTTCTTTGTTTTGCTAGGAGTCACCGACCAGAGGATGTCTCTAGTCAACCGTTACGCGCTGTGCTACACGATCGGACTTCATACGAAAAGTTGCATTGTTCTGCCTGCTACGTCATAAGCAGGATCATAAATCGAGAAGATAAAACAGCTTCGCCATGTCTGTCTGACCTCATATGACAACTACGGAACTGTTCTATTGGTGCTCTTTAAACATCTGTGGGGCAGTAATAACTGACATGAAGACATATTAAGAGTCTCTACGTGTGGGATTGGTTGGGAGGGGATACCACGCGCAGGCGCACGACAAACATGGTTGCGCACATTCTCAAAAGGTAAATTCTGGCGAATGCGACTAAACTATTTCCCTGCTTGCACATTACATAACATTTTTAAACAGCTGCACTCGATTCTGTTGGTCAAATTAGATTCAAAGATTACTCGCTGTCCTTTGGAGACGGGAGTCAATAGACGCGATCTTACCGTCACTCGAGGCAAGATTTACTGTGCGCGCGGATAGGGGGAATGCTGTCAAAGAAGCTTCAGAATTCCTTTCCCGATGTTGCTGGACCAATTAATGCAACTTCCTCTCCTCGATCCAAAAAACGTAAAGGGCAGCCCACCACGAACTGTGCACATTTTGAGAAGGAATTGTTGGATATCGAGTCTAAGAAACTGTCGTTGCTACGAGGGAAGTCTGGTAAAGATGATGAGGACATGAACTTCTTCAAATCTCTCATGCCTCACGTAAAGCAACTTCCTTCTATTAATAAGCTGAACTTCCGGAGCCAAGTCCAAAATATGGTCCATTGGCTGCCTTCATTTTCCGAACTATTAAAATTTCCAAGAACGCACTTTCCGCGAGCAAGGTCACGTTTACCTGACCAAGCCATCGTGGATACTAATGTTGTTGAACGCGTCTCTCACGTAGAACACAACAAGCGATTACCTCGCTTCATATGACACCCCAGGCTGCTTATGCAGCTCGCATAGCTCGCTTGTTATCGCTTACGTAAGACATTGCCTAAGGAGGATTGACATAGGGACACAGTCATTCTACGTAGGGGTCATGAACCCATGCCAACCGAGTTCCAAACATTCGTTATGGAGGCTCGAATGAGGAAGACAATGACATCAGTGTACATGATCAATGAGACAATTTTAAAGGGAGGTTTACACTCTCATATTACAGGAGCCTCGCCAAAGGAGGTGGATTTTGTGGAAGGAGGACTTACCGCAGGGGCTGCTAGACAGAGACCTATTCACCTCCAACATCACTCTGCTTAGGCGGATGTTGGAATTTTGGAAAAAGCATGAGTTTGTTACACTCATAATGTGATTATTAGGGATCTCCATCATTCTGCAGGTACGTGACATATGAATTTGTCAATCGGGGCTTGACAAATGTCACGGTAATGTGTTGAATGATCTGGTACTACCTAAAGTCGCGGACTGCCACAAGCAGAATGTGGTACAAATTTTTGCAGAGTTGAACGAGTATTTTGTTCTGAAAAACGTGCCCGAGCCACTCAGACCTCCGTTAGCCATGAAGGTAGTTTTCGCTAGATACAAGCCATAACAGCCACTATGGAGTTCTCAGATAGAGTCACGTACGAGATGCGCTTTGTATCACGATCGATACGACGAAGGGAAGGATCAGAGTAACTTGTCAGCCCACGTTTTTAGGTATTCAGTGTTGGCGACGCGTTTATCCGAGTTACATCTTATAGACGCCATCTCCCTTCCCACGTACAAAGAACTATATTATCCGCTAATGTAAGCACTATTCAAGAAACCTTGATCTTACAGAACAAGTTGGAAGTCATGGAAGACGGAGAACGGAACCTGGGGTCAAATCCAGGACCACAGAATAGCAAAGGTAATAGCGCCAACTATAATAGGAATTCGGGCTATTTTCATAATCGGTACGACAAGAACAGACAAGGCGGACACCACGTGAGATACTTTGGTTACAGGGGAAACCAAAATTTCTGCCATGCAAGACAAAATGATCGATTCAATCAGAGATATGCGTCGCCAGCCAACAGACCACGCGATAACACAGAGTCACACACCACACACGACGTCGCAGGGGGAGCAGACTCGAGGAGGACTGAACCCTCAAGCCATGCCGTACGACTCCAGTCGATCACCTACACACCATACCAATCATGGCGAGAACCGCGCATCAGCGGGAAACTCTGGAGGAATGACACAGGGGACATGAACCCACGCCAACCCAAGCGACGGTGCAGCAGTGCCTGAAGAGAACCGAGATCCAAGCATTCATTATGGAGGCTCGATTGAGGAAGGCAATGACAACACAGTGTACTATTAAGAGGACAGCACACGCACCAGCACATACCTCCTTCTTCCTGTGCAGCAAGTGAGTATCTGTCTCTCATTAACACACTCACCAGTCACAATGGCTTAAGACAAATATAGCATGCATTCAGTTGTTCACCAGTTCCCGTATCTTCCGGTACTTGGTCACTTGGATACAAAGCAAATATCGGCAATAAGATATTAACTTTACAGAAGAACGCGATGATCCAGCGTCGCCTTGACCTTTGAATTGATATGCGCTCTAAGCAATGACATCAGTGTACATAAATGAGACAAACTTAACGGGAAATTTGCACTTTCACATTACAGATTCCTCTGCACAGATGTTGGAGGGTGTCCATGGAGACTGCATCTCAGGGGCTGCTGAACACAGCCCTCTTTACCTCCAATATCGCAATGCTGAAATATGTGATAGAGCAGGGGTGGCCAACCCGCGGTTTCGTTTTGTGTGCTGTGACTGCAGGATAATTATTTTAATATGCCTGTACTTCAACAACATATTTAAAACAACAACAGCCAGGTAATAACTCCTATTAAATTAAAAATGACAGTGCAATATTGAATTAAAACACATTTTTTAAACATCAGAATCAAAAATAGATTTTTATAACACTTACGTCACAAAAGAGAAATTTTCCAATTTGAGAAATCTGGCACAAAAAGTTGTTAGCGCTTTTGGTTCAACTTACACCTGCGAATCGTTTTTTTCGAAAATGAAATTGACCAAACACAAAACACGCTCAAACATAACGGACGCTAACCTGCAACACCAATTACGATGTGCAAATACCCAAATTGAGATCGATTTGCAAAAGCTAAGTGAAAGAGTGGAGAAACAAATATCGCACTAGTAAAATAAATATTTTTTAATGATTTCATTATTTTTATTTCATTCATATTTATATATTTTCTATATTT